GTTTACCAGGCCTCAAGGTCAAAAACTATTTGTTTGTTAGGTTTCTAATAAAACTAAACAAGTTGCAATTAACAATTCAAATAAACGGCGCAAAATAAAAACAGAGTGAAATAAAGTGATAAATTTCGGATGACAGTTGAATACAGAAATATATGCAATTCGTTATACGTTTCAATCATCAGTGGCAATCTTAGTAATGACTTAACCCGTCAATACGACAGAATACATTGATTCACGGCAATGAATGTTAATGTAAGTATTGGCGAAATATATTATAATTTAGACTAAAACTAAACATCTAAACGAGTATAAAATTCAATCACTGTAATATATCGTAGCGTTAACAGATATCTTCAGACCAAAAATATTATATCACCGCTGCGAAATATATCGATTGCTGCTGCATAAACACATCAGTTACGAGTTATAATAACATAATTAATGACACATGTATTATGAAAAGAAAGCCAAGTGCGCAAAAGTTATCTCATAACTTAATCTATAATATGCTGTTTTTTTTCTTTTTATATATATATATATATATATATATATATATATATATATATATATATATATAATTCAACTGCTAGCCGATTGTTTGAGACTACACAAGAGTGAATAAAATCTATTAATCGTTCATTTTTTATAATATATGTACTATATATCATTTAAAGTTTCTACGTGTGTCGCGAGCAAACAAACAAACACAATATTATAATTCAAGATTATTCCACATTATACCAAATATTAGTTGCCAAAGTTCAAAAGTTCTATATAAACAACACTAAAAACCAATTAAATATCGTTTTCCGACAAGATGCGACGCAATTTAAAAAATATTTACGTTACTTTTTATACACCGCAAACGTTTAAAATTCGAATGACTCCTTAGTCAATTTAATTTTTCAGATTTTAGCTTCAGCTTCTTAGATTTTTTGGTCAAGTCAAAGTAAATTAAGAATTCGCTGTCGAGATCGGCATTTTAGCCTTCGAATTTGTCGATGTCAGTCGCGACAGCGATTATACAAAACAACAGACAACGCTGCGGATACATTCTATATAACGTCATCGCAAAAGTAGTTCAATGCGATTTTGATGCGTAAGTGAAAGTCCGCACCATCGTGGTCGGTCGGAATGTCGAGCAAGTCAAATTATTCGTCCGATCAATCCGTATTCGCTCATTAGACAAACACACGCTCGCGGCCACTTTTTCTGATTAATGCAATCGGCAAGGTGAACCTGTCGTATCATTATGCATCGTGCATTTCGACATTGTGCGGCATTCTACATTATAATATAATGTTAATTCTCCAAAGCCGCATTTAACAAATGCACTAAAAAAGTTACTTTACAAAAAAATAAAAACATATAAATTTTCTAGCATGATCACGTCCGCAAGTAAATGGCACTAAAAGAGTAATTAAAACTGCCAACTGATCGACAGGACAGATAAGTGACAAATAAAGAATGGAGTTGCAGTGAAACTATCGAGAACATTTTTCTTAATTAAGCACTGAATTAAAATTAGGAAGAAATTAGAAGGAGAGTAACCGAACATTATCTATACGTCGAAAGCTTTCTCATATCGGAGAATTTGTTGAAAAAATTATAAACTAATTAATAAAAAAAATATAATAAACAGTTGTAGTTCGGTGGAAGTTGCAAATAAAGTAGGTAAAATCGTCGATACACATTAATAACGCTGAAATCATCGGAGAAGAACTCGTTACTCATGAAAAAGATAATACATAGGAAAGACGGAGTGACGCACAAGAAAATTAGTTTTCGCCTTAAGCCAGCGAGGCAAGACCAATGTACATCATTACGGTCACGTACAAAAGAGAAAAAACGGCTGGCAAATTATAATTTTTTACTTATCGTTTTTACGATAAGCTATCTTAATTGCCACTGTATATTACGATTCGCGATGTTAACGACACATCAATTACAGAAGGATAAACGATTTCCCTGTACGAGCAACGTCAATAATTATAGCATTATTTCACATATTCGCTGTCGCGGTCCAAAGAAAACGAAATTACATCCCTAGCTAGATGCACAAACGCAAGAAAGACCGAAAACGGAAGAAAGATGGATACGTTTTTCCACCGAGAAAGAGAGAAAAGATAAACAGAGAAAGAGAGAGAGAGAGAGAGAGAGAGAGAGAGAGAGAGAGAGAGAGAGAGAGAAGAAGAAGAGAACGTGCTTTTTTGCGAATTTACTTTTTATTTTATCCATTTCAAATCTTGAAGTGGATAAAAAAGTGAATATCTTCACTTAATTTGTTATAACTCGAGCTTCATATATTTTAAGGATTATATGTTCAGCTGATTATATTCGAGTCTCAGCGTCATGCTTAATTCTGCATATGTCATTGAGGCTGCAATTCGAGCGGTTTTCGGATGAACAATGCGATCGTGATCGAAAGTAGTAAAGAAATCGCGTGAGAAAAATCGTAATTTGAATTAGAGCTTAGGGTACTACTCTCCGCAAATATACATAATTGTTGTGACACTCGCGTAACTAATGTTCCCGATTAAACGCGAGACCGGTGACAGGTGAGTGAGAATTTCAAGTCAAACGTATATTCCTTTCCCTACTGATTTTGTAAAGAGAATAAATGCCGATTTGTTTGTTGGAGACAGAAACAAAAGTGCGTCGAATCCGTTAATGATTTCATTGACTCACAAAAAATGTCAGTTCTATAAGAGAAGTCATTCTACAAACGTGGATACTTTGGATACAGATACTTTGATTGAATTAATATTATTAATTATTTAATATTAGAAAAGTTACAATCAATAAAAAACTGAATCAATTATTGCAAACCTCTTAATATCTTAGTCATCGTGTGTCCAAATTGCTCGGGTTCAGATGTCGATAAGAAATTAAGTTGAAATCGTGTCGAAATCGAATCAAGATCATGTAAAAATCAACAATCAATTTGATACTTCGATTTGACATAAGTGTCGATTTTTTGCAATAGTAATTTAAATTTATATTTTAGTTTAAACTCTGTTCTAACAATGTGTAACAAAAAAATAAGAATGTCCACAATTATATATATATATATATATATATATATATATATATATATATATATATATATATATATATAT